CATGGTGGCCTAACCTGTGATGAGCCCCTGGAAAAGCAATGGCTCTCGGGTGTGTTCCTGTGGTGACTGCAGGGATCAGCGCGGCAAGCAACCCCCAGCAGTGCTTTGAAGGTCCAAGACTTATATAGGAAAATGACGGGATGTGAAATAAAATACTGGGGGATCGATGGAAAACATACATTTATTGAGATATAACAGGCAATTGCATGGCTGTTAAACAGCTATAACTAGGTATTAAATAATCAGTTCAGCTGGTATTTATTTAATATAATCACAGCCTATTAAACCTGAATTAAGTACAGAGTTAAGTGTCTCTGGGACACACAGCTGAAAATGGTGCCAGGAACATTTTATGTTGCCTGAAACCCTTTGTGGAAAACTCCCACAAACACAGGCTTTGCAAAACTGTCCTTTGCTTCACAGGGGAAAGCACAGGGGAAGAGATTCTAGTTTTGACCTGAACTGCAGCAGTTACCCAGCAACCTTCACCTAGACTGAGACTTAATGTAGGTGCATAACTTCTGTACATCAGAAATACTCGACTGACTTTCTGGAACTGTTCCCGTACAGATTTTTGCCTGGATTATTTTGCTTTACTTGCACATCTTTGCTCCTCTGATTGCCTGATACTTACACAGTTATTCACACCAGCACAAAGCGAGTCCAAAGTAAATGTAAAATGCTGCTAAAGCAACATGGAATTTGCTCTGGCCTGGCTGAGCTTACAAATGGGAGATGTGAATAAGGAGCGACTCTCACATTGGAAATGTGAGGTCAGAGGACCCAAGAGGACATATAGTCCTCAACTCCCAGCAGCTTCTCATTTGCTTTCTACCAGGTTATGGAGGTTTGTGGGCATGGGCATGGACCATGGGTATGGTTTACGGTGTGTGTGTTTAAGTGCTGCTCTGGAGGATACTGGTGTCAAACACCTCAGAGCAAGCACACGCTAATACATGGGATAAAACTGTTACTTGGTGAAATTGCTGTCATTGGAGTTGTGGGTTTGTGTCAAAGGATTTCCAGTTTTGCTTCCTTTATGCCTCTTCTTTCTCCTTTTTAGTGATTAATGGAACCGAGCAAAGACTCTTGTCTTTCAAAGTAAATATCCAGATTGAATGCCACATAACTGGCATATGGTGCACATTATGGAATTATTTTCATGAGAGCTTGCAAAGGGAAAACTGCTGATGCCAGGGCAGACTCTCACTCACTGCCCTCAGTGCCAGCTGCCTGCAGTATTTTACGTGCAGGTTATTTGTATTTTCATTGGGCTCTGTGTCTTTCCCCAGTTTCCTGAACCAGTGTGTCATTTCACCATTCCCGGCATGTGGGAACGCTGATGGCAATTCATTCTCCCTATCAGAGGTGATTCCATGGATAGTGGCAAATAAAAGCGGAGAGGAGGCGACTGAACCCACATGGGGTGTGATCCTGCCTCCTGTCTTGCAGCAGGGAGAAAGAAGCCGGGATTGTGCTAAACAGGCAGATCCCAGTTCCTGTGGAACCTGAATGTCTCTGTACAATGATCTGCAATCCCCATTCCCCTCCCTCAGACTAATTAGCCCGTGTTTAACACCCAGACAAAACCCTGCTGCACCTGCACTGCCTTGGGAAGCACAATGCTGAGGCAGGCAACAAAGCGGCATGGCAGGGACCCCAAGGGGCTGAAAGCCCTGCCATCCCTTGCAAGCACTACTTTGAAAAAGGATGATAGAAAAGGGGAGAAAAAAATAAAAGAGAGGAGGAGGAGATTCCCTCGCTTGGACTTTTCACTATTGGAGAGAATGGGTCAAAGCCCCACAAAAGCAGCTTAATAAAGAGGAGAGGAAGAACAAGGCGAGAGGGGAAGTGCAGGGCAGGCTGAAAGGAAGGAGGGCTTTCCAGGTTATATTGTCCCCTTCGTCCTCCAGAGATGCTCAGTCAATGTCTCAAAAGCCGTCGATGACATCAAGTTGATTGGTTTTGCCGCAGCCGTTAAAAGTAGCTGCTGGAGAATCAATGCAGCATCTTCCGCATAGGACCCACTTGTTAGGAGGACAAAACGAGCCTCATTCATGAGCACTACAAAGGGGAGAGCTCTGCTTTGATGTGGTGATGGATGGCTCCTTCACCTGTTTCTTTCCTTGGGAGGAAGTGTGCAATGCATTTTCATCTGGCTCTCTGACCAAGTTCTCACTAGAAATAGCAGCAGTTCAGCAATAGGTGAAACTATTCATTTTTGGGAAAAAAAATACCAAAAAGCTTTTAATGAGAAGAATATAAACAATTTTCTACCTTCCATTCAAGAAGGGTAGACTTATTCCTTCCAGGCCCATACACATATGGAAGGAAACCTTATGTAGAGCCTGTGTCTTTTTGTGGCCATGTTGGATGACAATTTGGCTTGCTTTTAGGACATGACCTTTAGAAGATGCTGCTGCCTTGTCATAAATAGTGGTTAAATCCCAGGTGTGCCACACAAGGGGATTCAAGCTCCTGTGCTAATCCCTCTGCCATTGATGTGGGCAGCCTTGGGAGAGAGCAAAGTGAGGTTCATTGCTCATAATCACCTGAATTGCTCTAGCTGTGTGACAGATGAGGTGTGCTACAGGAGAGAAACCAGAGATGGGATGGTGAAATGACTTTCCTGATATTGCTGAAAGAGTAAGTGTTGGGGTTGGCTGTAGATCTCAGGAGATTCTTACTTCCAGGCTGGTCTGGCTATATCTTTAGTCACCTTTTCTTGTAATTATTTGTACAGGAGGGAAAAAGTGGAGCCCATGAAGCCCAGTCTTGATCAGAGCTCTGTTGTGCAAGGTGCTGTATTTCTCCTTGCCTGAGTTAGCAATCTCTGCTCCTCAATTTGGTGCAAAATTCCTAAGAGAGATCTTACTGGTGAGCATCTGTTCCCTGTAAATGAACTCTCTGATTTAATGATTCACTGTTGGTTTTGCTTAGAAGGTCTGGGACGCCTGGAGCACACCCACATCACCTTCACAACATCCCCAGGTACACCAAGGCATCACAGCCATTGGTGGGTTTGTGTGACTGACCAGTGGCAAGGTGATGCACGTGTTGGTGGGATGTCTGGCATCTGGGACTGCAGGCAAATGAGCAATTAGGAGATCACTCATAAAATCAGTAGTAACACTCGTTACAGGCTTCAGGCATAGCATGGTTGATCTCGAACCATGAGCAGAATACATTCAGGCTTAAATAGGAGAGTGATTAGACGGTCGGTCCTGACAAGAATCCTTAGGAGCCTAATATGCTGAACATAAATTAGTATCATCAGTTCAAACACCTCGAAAATTGGAAGCAAATTACTTCAGACTTGAGACAGATGGTGTCCATGCACCAGGCAGGGACAGAAAGTCCATCTCTCAGGGCAATGCTGATTCCTCCCTCTCCTATGAGTTGGACCTCATCAGTGAGATGATGGGACTATTGCTTGATGCTGATGTGAATGCCCTGAACCTCCTGGAATAGCAGGCAAGAGAAGGGGAAAAGAAAGTGATTTTTGCCTGGAAATGGATGACTTTTCTGGAAGTACTGCTTCAGTTTCATCCAGAACATGAACAGCAGAGACAAAAACTAGCTCACTAACCCACTCTCCTGCTGTGTCCTCCTTCAGTGATATAAATATGGCTGGAAAATGTCTGTACTGTTTATTACTTTGAAGTCAAATGTGCACCAGTTAATTTCAGAAAGATGGGAGAAGAAATGCTTTCTGGCTGGCTTTGAGTTGCTAAGTCATCTGACAAGCTTCCCTTTCCCTGTCCCCCTTCTTTTATATACACATGGAAATGCAGACATGGATATTTTAATGTCTATATTAAAACTAGACCAGACGTTGGTGTGCTGTTTGGAGTTGTGTGGCATAGAAATAAATCACTGTGGTGAGCAAGGAAGGAGCATGTACTGCTCCCTGGCAGCTTCGGTTTGCTCAGGGCTGCATGCTTGAGCAGGACACAGCTCCTGAACAAACAGGCAGGTGGATGGAGATCAAACCCTATGGGCAAAAGGACCATGAGCTGTTTTCCTGTGGGTTTGACAGGGGATCGAAAGTGTCCTTAGGTTGAAGCTGGAGGGGGTTCAACGCTACACTGAGGAGAAGGCTTGTGGCAAGGAATGGGAAAAGAAGGGCTGGTTTCTCCATTCCCCAGGGCTATGTGGGTGAACATGGGCTGCAGCCTTGGATGACCATGTGGAGGAGGCTTTTATGAAACTAGTGGAGCAGAGGACATAGAGGACAACTGAGCCAGCTCCCTGCTTTGCCCAGCTGCATTAAAGCGCCCCAGGACAACTAATCAAAGTGAACTGAGACTTTAAAGAAAGCACAAGGTTAAAGAATATTATCGAGCTCATTGGTTTCCTGAGTGTTGGGTTGCTATTATTTGCTTTCTGAACTTTATGATTAGATAAAACAAAAAAAGCCCTTGAAAAGGTGACTTAGATCTACCCAGGACCATGAAAAGTGCAGGTGCTGTTCTCACAATGAGATATTGGATCTTGCACATAGCAGAAGGCACCAGGGACCGATCCCCTACCTGATGCCAGCAAGAGCAAGCTAGCTTTGCTTGGGGGCACCCCACACCTTCCAAATATCTGCTTTTCCCTCAGATGGCTGATGTTGTCCTGTCTGTGTCATGGGGGCAATGCTGATTGCAGTTTGAATGCTAGGAGAACACCCTGAGAACACGGCCTACTCATTACACTCATTATTATTACCCTTGCCTTTCCAGATATGCGATGGGTTGACAACAACATGGCTTTGAGAGGGGTTTGTGCAGATCTGTGCATTGATAGAGAGGAGAGCTCTAACGGGGAGGAGGGCAGGGCCTGGGATTGTCTTAATTGGGTGTTAATGGGTCCCAGCTGGGAGATAGGCTCAGCTGGGTGCCATTTGCCCTAATTGATAAGAACCTTTGATTGGATCCTTGGAGGAAGCTGTTGTTCATGGAACCTACTAAAGGAAGGCTGAAAATGTAATAGCTGTTGCTTAAAAGGAGGAAAGTTTTTGTTATTGATATTTGAGGTTTTATTATGATTTGGAAACTTGCTTTGAATCAAGTGGAAGGATTCAAAACCCAACCCAAGAGAGCTCTGTGTGGTGGGGAAGGAGGCTGCAGTGGAGCAAGCAAACATGCTTTGAAGAAAGTTCCCAAGGCAGGTAGGAGAAGGGAGACTTGTCAGGGCTTCCTAACTGGTGTCTGCTTGTTCTACTGCTTGTAAGGAAAAGAAAGCTGCACCTTTCTGCTTCTACTGTGGCACTGCCCCAGTAAGCAAGCAGAGATAGCTTTGTACGTGCTGCTGTATCAAGTATTGGGCTCTGTGTCAGTGTTATGTACAGGAGAAACAGGGTTGAGAAGAGCAGCTTTTTTTGTCTGTGTCTGTGAGCATGCTGGTGATACTGATGTGAATGACAGGTTTTGCCTGATGGTTTCCTTCCTCCTGGGACTTCATTATTACAGCTGTTGCTTGCAGTTGGAATAGATGTGTCCAAAGGAAATAGGAATTTCTGCCTGTCTTTGAGTGAGAGTTAACCCTTTGCAATGAAGAAGGAACTGAGGTAAGGAGAGGTTGTGCACCAAATGCAATCCAGCAAGCCTAATTAGTTGTCTTCTCCTAGATAAATCAAGTCTGTAAGGGCACAGTGCATCTGGTGGGTGGAGTTTTGTTGCTATTTATTTTGCTTTTGTTTTGCTGAAAATACTGGATATTTTTCCTTTGCTTGTGAAATTGCTTCATGGCCCCAGCCGTCTGTTGAGAGATGTCTTAGAGCCCTTTAAATTCTTCACACAAAGGATTTTCCTTTCCTGTAGGAGGAAGGGGTTTAGCAGGCATCATACAACCTCTCTGCAGTGCTGGGCACTGGTAATAACCTCATTAGAGCATCCCCTCTTCCTCTCCCTTTTTCTCTCCAGGACCATAAAGCTCTTGCAGATATAAAGGCAGCTTCCAAGCATGGCTCACCTGCTCTTTGCAGTGCTTGGTCTTGATGCAGCTCCAGGGAGCTCTTTAGAAAGTCCCTGTAAAAGCATCAAATGGATGACTGGATTTTTTTGTTAGGGTGCATGTATTGCCTCTGGTTGGGTTTTCTGGTCCAGGTTTTGTTGCACTGTCAAAGGTTTATTCTTCTATGAGCAGCTTAAGGTACCTGGGCACACCAAAGGTCTGGCTTGCCCAGAGTGCCTGTGAGGTTGTACTTTTATATTCATTAGTACTGGCTTTGTGCAGTGGACTAGTCAGTGATATGGCTGATCTGAGCATGTACAGGACTTGCACTGTTTTTTTACTCTTGTATGCTGTATGAAGTTGAATGCTACTTAATGCAACACAGACACCTGATCTGTCAGAATTAATCTGCCAGCATTTTTTGGAGGTGGAAAAAATGAGTGGAATTGTATTCTGTATCATTTTTATCATGCCTTTGAGCTACAACTGGGCAACAAAATCTAGACTTGATGTATTTTTTGAATCACAGCCTTAGATGGTCAATATTAGATGCTTTCAGAAAGGGCAAGTAAAGAATGACTCTCCTCATACGAACATCTTGGATGATGTTAACCAAGCAAGTCTGGTCTTAACCATCTAAGTTATATCTACCTCTGCCAGTGAAAAAGGAACAGTACAACAGACATCACTGAAACCAGCACAGTCTCATTCCTGAGTGCACATTGCTGACTTACCAGCTTTTGAATTGCTGACAAATGACAAGCTCCTGTAATGATCCAGTTCAGAGGGTACCTTCTTGGAGAAACACAGGGATGCTTCTGGCAGGGTCATTACTGGAAGTCGTTAATCACTGATTTGATATTCAAAGCTGATGGTGAAGTCAAAGCAGGTCAGCATGCTAATGGTCATCAGCGGTGGCAACAACCAATTTCCACAGAATTATTGTCAGCGCACGCAGCAAAAAGCAGCTCAGAAAAGGCAATCTTTTAAATGGGAACCAGTATGGGGTGGGCTGTAGGGGCAGAATGAACTGCTGCCTGACAGGAGGCAGACTTGCTTCTAATTGGGAGAGGCAAGCAGACAGGAGAGATGCAGCTGGAACTCCAGGGGCGAGCACCATTTCTCAGCTGGGGCCATCTGCTGTGATTTTTCAACAGAGAAATTACCCAAGGTATTGCTTCTGCTCAGCATGAGGGAGCTGGTGTGTGTCATGGGTGAGCACTGCCAAGGGGTCAGCCTGTCCTGGTGGCTGGAGAGCAGTCCTTCATCTGCCTGCTCCCGGGTGGGACCTGGGTAGAGCTGTGTTGCTTAAAGATGGGAAATAAATGCTGGGAGCTCTCGAAGTCATGGCCCAGCCTCCTGAGCAGTGTGTTTACATTGCTCTTCTGTGAGCACACTGTCCAGCAAGACTACAGAATGCCCTTTTGGACTCAGTACAGCTGTTTTCTGGCAGACCTAAATGCACCCTGGGAACAATTAAGGCAGGTTCACGGTGTGTTTTTCCCCTAGTCCCATGTGATGGGATGGAGGTACCATCTGCAGCACCGCTGGTGTGAACTGTTGGTTTGCTAACATGGACAATTTGTTGTGGACCCTCTTGCTTGTGTCCAGTGGTTTCCTGCTCTGTTGAAGCAGCCAAGACGGTTTTCTGTGAATGTGACTTGAAAAGTACGTTGATATTTAGGTTTGTTTTTTAAACACCTTGGTGAGTGGCTTTACCTCAAATGTTTCCACTTCTCTTCTTTAGAAGAGCAGTGAGAGCACTGGTTTTCACCAGGAGCCAGAAGCGGTGCTGTCCAGTAATGGTTCAAAGCAGTGAGGGGCTCCCCAGCCTGCCCTTATTCCTGTGCATGGTGAGGGGCTGTTGTGCAAGATTAGAACTAAAAGGCTGTCCCTGCCCTATAAATCTCCCCATCAGACATTGTCCTGTTGTCTCAGACATTTGCTTTTGGGAAACAAAGATTCCAGCTTCATGTTGGAAGGGATTGCTTATTGCTCTAAATTATTGACTCCGGGTATGTGAACCTGAGACATCTTGAAATTACTTCTCCACAGAAGCATATGTGGTGTGAGAACGACACCTCTGGAAATGGAGAGAGCAGGACAACAAGCACTGTTTGATCACACTGACCTTTGCTGAAGGCGGGTTTCCATCTGGGGATGAGGCAGGAGCTTCATCACCCTTCTCTGCCCCTGTGCTTGAGCGGCCTTTAGCTGGTGCAAGTTTTAACTGAAATGGACACACATGTACTAGGAATTGGACTTGAGACCAGCAATTAAATTCACATAATACCTTTGTTGTCCCTGACTTGGACCAGAGTTGAACTAGTGACCTGGAGATGAAAGTCACCATAGTCCTTTAATAGTCCCCTGAGGCAGGCAGGCAGCCCTCTCACTGGCTGTGGCAAAACCCATGGCCAGGCTATTTCCCTGCTTCCCTCAAGTTTAACCCTCTCCCATCCCCCTTCCTCTTCCCTAACTCCTCCAGCTCTCCTTTGCCTGCTGGGCATGACCAGCATAAAAGGAAGAGCAATGAGAGCCATATGCGAAGCCTTTTAACCCTTCTGCAATGGCTTGTGGAGAGTCTGGCTGGGGGTGAGTTGTGCAAGTCCTGGGGTCCTCTGGGTAGCTTGAGCCTCTGGACACTGCTTGGAGGGGGCTGCATCAAGTGGAAATGTATTTGCTGGAAAAGAAATGGGAATGTTCAAGCGTAGACCTGTAACTGGTATCCAGTTGTAGAGCATGAGGCTCCCTCTTGTTCCTTTTCATCTTAATTTGATGTCCTTTACCCTGCTCTAGTCCCCTGCATCTCCCCATGTAGCAGCAATGGGAAGTAAACTCTTAGCATCTGTGGTGTTGTAAGTCTGAGTGGAAACACAAGGAATTTCTCTTTCTCATAATGCTGTCTTCAGTCTCCTTCCTCATGTAGACTAGGAAAATCCCTCTGGCCTTGCATCTTTCAGACAACATGCAAGAGCATCCATTATCCTGTCCTCTGTGTTGTTGAGCCATAAACCTGGAACTCCAGAAGCCAGTGTAATACTGATGTGCCCTCAGGTGGGGTGGTAAACTGAGTGTGGTTGGCTTTCACTCTTTAGCCAAAAGGTTTATGGCTGAAGCTGTCTTGCCTTGAGGACCTTCAGAAACAGTGCTTGAAATGTGTTTCTAAAGGGGGATTAGGCAAACCTGGAAGTATCCCTGAAAGACTCCAACTGAACAGAGCAGGCGGGGAGTGCCTGTTTATATGTTGTTTACCTTGACTTGTCTTTGGCCTGTGTCCCTGCCTTTTCTCGTCCCAGGGTCCTTGCCTGACCCTGTCTTTGGGAGCATGATGCCCTATCTGAAATCTGGAAAGTGTAAGGAGTGAATGGAGACTGTTCCCATCGGATGGCCAAGCAGTGTGTGCCCTTTTGAAGTATCCATAGCTCTCATCCTGTTCCTGCTGATTTCCATGCCTTGTCTGGAATAAGAAGTAACCTCTCAGCATGGTGACTGGTCTTGTTTCCACCTGCAGCAGAGGTGCCATGTTTTGGGTTGCATCCTCACCAGAGAGAGCTGGATCCTGCGGAGTGCCCCAGTCTTGTAGCTGTGATTGCATGGTGAGGAGGTGGAGTTCTCTGACGTGTTTTGTGAAGTCTAAAACCCATGTGAGAGGAAGGAAAAGTGAACTCCATCCTAGGAAAATATCTCATTCTGGTGCTACCCAGGAAGTGTCTTGCTGTGGTCTGGTGAACACCAAGAAGAGACAGGCGTGCTTTGGCAGCAGAAGGCTGCAGTGAGGTTTGTGCTGCAGAAAACTCCCACCCTGGAACGCAAAGGATTTTATGGGCACTAATAAATTAAACCTCATGTGTTGACTCTAAAAATGCAGTGGTAATGAACCAGCCTGGGTTTACGGATAAGGGGAGTGGAACAGAGAGTAATATGCTCATTTCTCTGAGGTCGCTGGACCATCCAGCAGTATGGGTGGGATGATGCCAAGGAACCCATCTTTCCTGCACAACTGCCTCTCCTTCAGGCTCTTGCTCTTAGCCATAACATACCCAAAAGTTCTCTTCCAAAATCATCCCTTTGGCTTTCATCTAGCAGCACATGGGGTACTTGTTAGCTGTCTCTGACAGGTCCTCAGAAAGCCAGGCTTGTTGCCATTAGCCTGGCATTCTGTATCCGGAGGAATGCCTCTCCGCTGGAAAGAAAACCTTCTGGAAATTGGGA